TATTGCCATTCTTCCCTGAATCCTGGGAACTCAGTGTCCTCCTGCTCCTTCTGGCGGCCTAAAGGTAATACCTTGCTTATGCCTGCTTTCTTAGGCAATGCATCCTTTCCCCCTCAACCCCACTAAAACTCCCTCAGGACAACTGAACTTAGCCACTTTTTAGGTGGAAAACATCTACTGACTCTAATTTTTACTAAGGTAAAAATGATTGGTACTCACTTAATTTATTAACCCTGACAATTCTTAAGGATTTTCTTAACCCAATGGAATTGTTCTAAATTGATGGAATTAGTAAAAGAATTTCATATCAACAGTTAGATTTGAGGGAATTCTTGATACCTCTCCAGATTGTAACAGGTAGGACATCACCTACTTCACCTGTAGATACATGTGAACACAAGACCTATCTAATCACAAATACTGCCTAAGTTATTTCTCCCTTTGTAAAGTTAGGTTCCTTATTTTTCCTTTGGCTTGCTGTCTTCTTCCTATCCCCCACCTACCAGGCATGGATCTTTTACCTATCCCTCTGCCAGGATCAAATTTCCATTTTTCCTACGTTTACTAAAGAGTGAGAATAAGCTTCTCTCTTCTACCTCTCCCCCACAATTCTTCACAAAATGTAACGGAGTCCAGGTGAGAGAGCACTGTCTCAAAGCTGATTTAAAGCCAGAGGCACAGTATAAAGAAGAGAATGACCAGGAAGGAGTATGGTTAACCTGTCAGGGTTCAGGAACGATGCCTTTTTTTTTTCTGACTTTGTGTCTACTTAATACCCTTGCTTTGAGTACTTGTTAGCCTGATATCATCTTGGGAGACATAGTCTCAAATGTGGTGCCAATGGGAATGGCCATATTCATCAACACCTAGTTAAAGTCTGAACAAAGGCTTCATTCCTCTACCTAGTTAGGTGGAGTAGATCACTCCTGGTTGTACCTTCCTCACCAGGACTGTAACTCCCTCTTTGAAGGAGCTTTGAGGCAATATTCTCATGGTTGAACTCTGCTACACTTTGGGGGTGGGGGGGCAAGTGGGAAGAAGATGAAGATGGAGGAGAAAATGGTTATTTCCACTCTTTAGTAATTATAGGACCACTGCAAATAAATTTGATCCTAGGTATGTAAAAGATCTGATTGCTGAGTCTATCAGTGATACATGAAATAGGAAAGGAATCTCAGAATTAGAGAAGGAAGGTAAAAATGGAGCCTATAAACCATGACTTCAATTTCTGGAAAAATTCTAGAATATGTTATTAAAGGAAATAGTAATCTCAAAGAGTCAACATGGCTTCTTCATGAAGAATAAATCATGACAAACTAAGCTCATTTTTTTTTCTTTTGACAGGTTATTAAACTAGTAGAACATGCAAATACTATTTATCTATATTTTACCAAAAGATTTAACAAAGTCTTCGTGCTCTCCTTGTGGAGAAGAGAGGTGTAAGCTAGTTCATCACTGTATTTGAAACTGATGTTAAATGACTGAAATCAAAGAGTAGTAATGACTTGATGTCAATTTTAAAGCAAGTCTCTAATGAAGCTCCCACAGGGATCTGCAATTGGCCCTGTGCTGTTTAACATTTTAATCAATAATTTGGAGAAAAGCATAGATGACATGCTTATTTAATTTGCAAATGGCACAAAGATAGGAGAGATGTTGGATGTTAGGATCCAAAAAGTTCTTGACAGGAAACCACGTTAGGCCAAATCTAATAGGATGAAATGTAATAAAGATAATTGTAAAGTTATTCACTTAGGCTCAAGAAATCAATTTCATTACTATGAGATAGGGGAGGAATGACTAGACAGAAGTTTATCTGAAAAAAAATCTGGGAGTTTAATGGACTGCAAGCTCAGTATGGGGTCAACACTATAACATGGCAGCCAAAAGATTAATGAGATTAATAATTAATAAGCTGCATAAAGAAAGGCATAGTTTTCAGGACTAAGGGGATGCATCATACTCCAGCATGGTCAAACCCCGTCTTAAGTTTTAGAAAAGATGATTAACCTGGAGTACAAAAGAATAAGGGCAGAGAAGAGGGGTAGAACATGAAGGGTGATTAGATAGAAGTTTCAGTTGACCCCAGAGGGCAGAAGTAGAATTAATGGCTGGAAGTTATAAAGAAGCAAATTTAGGTTTGCCATGAGGAAAAATTTCCTTACAAAGAAAGCTGTCCAAACATAAAATGGATTAGCTTAGGAGACAGTAGGTTGTTCTACATTAGAGGTCTTCAGGCAAACACTAGTTGACCAACTACCCAACATATCGTAGAAAGGATTCTTGTTCAGGTAGTAGTCTAACTACATGGTTTTTGTGATTTAACAACCTGACTTTCTAGAATTTTTTTCCAATCCTAAATCTGTGATTCTATTTTGGATCAGAATTTAAGGGGCTAGGATTGTAGGATAGCCAACAATTGGTTCGATGCAACTAATAACCCCGCTAATTCAGAATTCATGGTTCTTTAGAAAGGGACTCAGCTGACGTTTACTTCTGCTTAGCAAGTTTAAGGAGGCAAATAAGATTACATGGAAGAATGGTTAACCCAATCAAAAGAACAAATTCCTTCCAAGCACCCTAGCAATAACTATTTGCATAGCAACAATTAGTATTCTAATTACAAATGATTCCTCTCTTTATTAAAGCTTATTTGGCAGGACCTCTGTTTGCCAATATTTTGTTATAACCTAGTTCCATCATTATTAGATCTACTTGAAGGAAATAAAATTTAATTTCTTGTAAAATATCCTCTCACTCAGATGTGTCACTAATTCAGAGAGGCCTTCTTAGTCTGGATTGAAGTTTGACTTGCCAGCTAAGCACTTACACAGCAGCCCCTTGTCCTCAAACCTACCCAGAAGAAGTATTTGATCTCAGATATTGTGAAATTCTCCTGGCTCTTATCCATGGATCTATGCTTATCTTGTGCATTGTCCTATTCCCTAAAGACGTTCAGTTGGCCAGATAGCAGCAGTATGTAATTAACAAAATGAGAAACCCCTGGATCTTCTACTTCCTGTGGATGGCCACCATGGGACATGAGAGAATAGGTACAGGCAATATTTGACTCTAGGGCAGCAGTGGAAAACCTGTGGCCTTGAGGCCGTATGTGGATCCAAGTTGGATTCAGTCAAAGGGACACACTTCAGGACCTAGAGGGCCACATGTGGCCTCAAGTCTACAGGTTCCCCACCCCTGTTCTAGGGTATAACTATCAAACATCTTTATTCCAAGTTGCCCACTGACCTCATTATGTTCACTTCCTTTTTGTCCCCGACAACTTTAGACACTTTAGACAACTATAATAAGTCTGGCTGAGAAACTTGGCCCCTTCCACATTTTGTTTATCATACTCTGTGTGCTCTTTCCAACAACTGATATCTTTCTATCTTGAAGAGAACTGCAGGCAGTGATGATATTCTCACTTCCATTTCCTGAACCATTTTAAAGTTAGCGTTGCTATAAAATATTCATTGTTTTGACTTAGTACTAAGTGAAGGTGAAGAGTACTAGATTTGAAGCCAGAAGACTTCGATTCCAATTAATTAGGCTTAGAGTCAAGGTAGCTAAGGATTCAGTGGTTAGAGCACTGGGTCTGGAGACAAGAATACCTGAGTTCAAATCCAGCTTCAGATTTTTACTACCTTTGCGACCCTCAGTAAGTCACATAACCTCAGTTTCCTCAACTGTAAAATGGGGGTTATAGCAGTACTTACCTCATAGGGATTGTTGTGAGGATCAAATGTGTATTTAAAAAGCACTTAGCACAGTACTTGGCACATAGTAGGTACTATGTAAATGTTAATTCCACCCACTGTGCCCCACTTTAGGAAATGTTACTCACCAGAGTGACTTGGAACAAGTCACTTAATACTTCTGGTTCTTAGTGTTTTTATCTATAAAATAAGGGGTTGGCCTAGGTGATTTCTGAGATCCCTTACAGCTCTAAATTCACAATCCTATGCTACAGCAACCCCACCAAGGCAAGAATGCAGCAGGAATGAAAGGGAAAGCCAAAAAGAACATACCAGCCAATACCCATTCCATCCCAATCAACAGCCAAGATTCAGAGTATCACCTGAGCTAATTTGGTTTATACTCTTTGAAAGACACAGCATCTGGTTCTGTCCTTGGCAATAACCCCCCAGTTAAAAGAAAGGTCCCAGTGACTACTTTGTGTGTGTTTACATATCACTTAGCACTTAGTAGGTGCTTAATAAATGTTTATCAGATTGTGTATGTGTGTGAATCATCTAGAGTTGAAAATTTCATTCTCAATATTCAGATCATGTCTCTTGAGTAACTTTAACAAATCCAGTAGTAGAACCTTCCTCATTTCTCCCTAAGCCTCAACACAAAGCAGCTGGGAAATCTCCAGGGTGCCAATCCTGAGCTCCTACACTGCAGATGTTAGGGGGAAGGGGGAATGCAACCAGTTAATGGAAACACTGGTTCATTGGCTTGCAAAATATAAAACTAGTGACCATGCCAGGCCATGTCAGTAGCTTTGGACAGTTTAGGGGGAGAAAAGTTTTCTCCTTTTCCAATCCCCTGAGCCGTGCAGTAGTGCCTTAATCAAGGGGCTGAGCCAGTGGATTCTACCATATAAAATTTAGAGACTTCAGAAGTGTATAGCAGTACATGGGTGGCAAAACTATACAAAGCAATAGGGCCTCAAAAGCTTAATTGTACTTGCCAGGAGCAGGTTGCATGTGATTAAGAATTTGGTTGTTCAACTGTAGTGCCTAAGTGGATTTTGATCACTGTTGTGGGTTTTGGGGGGAAGGGGGGATGGGACGCTTTAGTATGATTCATCATTATGTCATTGGGTTGTTTGTGTTTGTGTTTATATTTTAGTTTTTCAGTTTGGTTTTGTTGGAGTGCGAGCATGCATGCTTTTGCTGTTGTAATTGTGTCAAATAATTCTCTAACTTCCTTTGGAAAGCACTAATGAACAAGTGCAATTTCTCTTCTCTATTGTTGGGTTTTTTGTAAAGTTGCTCAAATGCTCTCAGGTATGGCGGCTCTGAATGGAGGACTTGGCGCCACGGGCTTGACGAATGGTACGGCTGGCACGATGGATGCCCTCACCCAGGCCTACTCAGGAATCCAGCAGTACGCTGCCGCCGCACTGCCCACGCTCTACAGCCAGAGCTTGTTACAACAGCAGAGTGCCGCAGGCAGCCAGAAAGAAGGTAGGCGCTTCCCCACCAGCCTCCGAGACCACCAATGAGCAGTATCTTATTAAAGTTGGTGACAGTCTCATTTTTAAAGAATTAGAAAAAAAAATACAACTAAATTGAGCCAATGTTTAAAGCAAACAAACAAAAAAATCAGTTCTGTTTCATTTTTACTTTTCACGGATACATTCTGAAGAAAACTGATTGGCCTAACCATTTATTTTAACCTTTTCTTCTTTCCTGTTCAGTGTTATATTTCTTTTATCCTTTGATTTAATTTTGTCATCTATCCTTCAAGATGGATTTGCCGCCCATTGTGTGTTAATGTGTAATTAATCATTAGCTGCTGTTCTCAAAAAAGATGCCAGGAATAAGCAAAAAACAGCCTGGGCCACTTCTTCTTTCCCCAAATATCTAATTTCTTGTTGTTGGTGGGGTGAATCCATAAAACATTGTTCGGGGGCTGCACTCTCACTTTCCCCAACTCTGTGATCTCCATGTAACTCTTGTGATCCTCTAGCTGCTTGTTATTAGACATTAGTTTTCAGGTTAATGACAAGATTTGCTGTTAGGATGGAGTGGTTCTTTGTTTAATTGTGGGTCTTCTGGGGAAGCAAATAAGTGATTGATTGCCTTGCTTTCTCTGCCAATAAAGCAAAATAAACCTCAGGAAGTTAATGCTAAGAATAAATTAATACTAATTATGAAATGTTTAGTGAACTAGTCCAAACAAGGATAGCTTGTCTCTTTTTACTTCTTTTGGGTTTCTTTTGTCTTCACTTAATCTGCTGGGAGACAGAAGGGAAAGCTTTGTAAGCTTTCCCAAAAGTATCATAACTTCATTCTGCCTTTGCCTGCTTAGAATACAAGGGAGAAGGTAGAACATTAAAGTGCTGAAGTATCATTTTTAGCTTTAAAAAAAAAAACTCCCTTTTTTTCTATTCCCCCACATGCTTTAAATTAAAATTTGATTAAATCTACATGTTTTGGCTTTAAAGGTGTTCTTGTAGGAAGTGCAACAGGGTTACATCCCCATAAATTTGTAAATTTTAAAGGGACACTGACAGCTTTAAAAGATACCTGTGTTTAAAAAAAAAACTTTGTGATGTGTGTCATCAGTAATATTGTATATTATTAAAAGCAAAAGAAGTTTGAAAATCTCATCTACTTTTCATCATTTCTGCTGTTTATTTACTTTTAGCCTCGACTGCTGTTACGGGTTTTTTCCAATGCGCCAGTATTGAGACAAATCCAAAGCCCCAAGTTTCATATAGGCACATAAGGAGGCCCACTCTTCATGATTTAACACTGCATGTCCTACCAAAGGGAAGAATGGATCTATATTTATAGGAGTGCCAAACCATCATAATGGTGGGAACCATAAGCTATAAAGTTTTATGGAAATGTGGCATTATTATTATTATTATTGTTGTTGCTATTAATGCACAGATAGACATCCTGTCAGATACGTATTCAATCAACTAGAAATAATAGACTCATTTTGCCCCATTATTATGGATAATATGTTCCATTCTCCATTTATAGATGAGATAAAGAAACTATACTGTGTATCATTGAGAAGGCTATAAATCATAAATATTACATATATCCACAAGGCAATCGGGAAAACTTTAAAAGAACGTACTATTCAGTTGAGTTAAGTTTAAATGCTAACTCCCTGGGCCAAAATTTTCAAAGCCCCTTTACACATCTTTCCCCTTTTCAGTCCCTAAAACATTCTTTCCACATGACACAGAATACTGCAGGGGCTGATTGGCTAGGCAGTAGTTATACCTCAGATGCTAATCATTCATTCAGTCAGTCAATAAGTATTTATTAAGCACCTACTATGTGCCAGGCAGTGTGCTAGGTGCTGAAGATACAAATACAGTGAATGAAATAATACATACTCACATGAAAAAGAATTCAAAGTACCCCTTTCAAGTATCTGTGTTTAGATCTGTGTATTATCTGCAAGTCTATGTTCTTAGGGTTTTTTTTCTCTTTAGATTTTTATGTCTCTAGCTGCCTTTTACATGTCTATTATGCCTACCTTTCCTCTACCCAGCCAGTATGTACTAAAGAGATTTAAACTGATTTTAATTTTGGTTTTTGTAAAGCATAATTAAGATAGTTAATCCAGTAGTATAGGAAAAATAAATCACATAATGCATTCCAGAACCAAGTAAAAACTACTTTTATATTTTACATACTACAGTTCCACTCTTTTGGAGAAGATAAACCAAGAATTAAATAAATCTGTTTGATCACATTCCCCAATATGGGTTCTCCCTCAGGGAAAAGACCCAATTTTGCAGTATGACTAAGTGGGTTTTACTTTTTTTTTTCCCATCCAAATTGGCTGACAGGATCATAGCATCACCTGGACTCAATAGCGTGGACAACCCTTTTCTCTATTTTGTCAGTAAACCCAAATCCTGGAACTAGAATTTCCTCCTTTGAGGGCCACTTCTGTTTCCTGTAGGCATGCCCAAGGTCACAACTGGAGTTCCTCTCCACATAATTGGTGGCTTGTTGTAATGGCAGTTAGCTCCTCAGAAAGGGCATAATAGCGTATATATGAACTGAACAAAACCCTTCAGGAATAATGTCTGAAGGAGTGTGTGTATTTCACAATATTCTCAGATGATATTTGACTACCTGGGTTTCATCAAAATATAACCCTAAGCAGCGGTTTCCTATAACACAAAAGCCACCAACATTCACCCATCATTTGTCATCCAAAATATTCGAAAGCGCACCCATTTCAAAAAAAAAAAAAAAACTGACCAGATATTCTAGAAACTTACATTCTAAGACAGATTGAGGAAGAAGGGGAGAGAAGACAGGGAGACTACAGACTTATTCAAATAGTTACAATAAAAACAAAGTTTTGGCCTGACTTTAGCTAGGTAATTATTGGTAGCATTACCTCAGTTCTTTGGCATACTGTGACCTCTGAGACCTGGCTAATGGCACCTTTTTAGAAACCAGGAGATCTCTGAACTTCCTGCTCTGCATTCTTTGTGGGTGCAGCCCCTGATCCTGCTTTTATGTAACAAGCTTCTCCCCATCTTAGTCCTCTGTTTGAGGATAAGCTATAGTTTCTCTTTCCCTGTCTCTCTGGCTATTTACACAGGCCAAATGAAAAACGGTCACCAATAATTCAGGTAATTCAGTCAACATCAATACCTAATATGGATAATTTCCAGTCCTCTTCCCCAACCCTCAACACTTGTCAAGGGATGGAGGATATACCAAGGTGGACACCTTCAAAATGTATTTTCAGTTTATCTGTTGCATCTTAATCTCCAATGCATGAGGGAAATTTGTAGGTCAGTCTTTGCAGAGACCCTCACATGGTACCAATCCAGAGATTTATGGATCTAAAGCATGTTTTAGTCGTAAATCAATCCATCACTTCCATTTTGAGGAGATTCTATGAGGAGGATCCCAAGATGTCACCTTCCTCTTTTCTGATGTTTATATATTCTGAAGCATTTATCTAGTATGTTTCAAAAACTTTTCAGGCATAGTCGGTCACCTCTCTTCCCTAGTGCATTAAAATTATATTCTTTTTCTGGGTTCCAGGAGAAGAGAGATGCTTCACAATTTAAACTGGGCATCACTGACCCTCATGTGTGTATGTGGGCCCCTTATTTAGAGTGGCCAATAAATCTGGGTTGGTATGATTTATGTTGTGTTTGCTCTATGTACACATTGCAAAGGCTTCCCTCTTCCTCCCCAGTAATTCCCCAAACCTGCTTTTCCATTGTTTTATTTTTACTCCCATTCTCACATTCCTAAGTTTAGTGTTTTAAAAAATAATAAATAAATAAAATATTATTTCCCCTTTTTAAGAGGGAAAAATATTTTATTATATTTTTTAACCAAACCTAAATTTGGGGCCTAAACCACATGACAGTGTCCCTTTAAAATATAGGCCACTGCCCCTCTACTGGCATTTCTAAGGGAAAGTGTGGAAAAGCATTATCTTAACTATGAAATTCTACTTCTTAATGTTGGAATTTTCCACACTGTTGTCTGTTGGATTGGTGAGGAGGTAGCCAAGTCATCAAAGATGTCCGTAGAAGTGAACACTTAAATGAGACTGAAATATTTCAACCTTCTAGTTTCAGGCATTTGTATCATAAATTTTCCCTCAGTGGTTAAGAAAGTCCAATTCATTGGAAAGATTCTTTTATTTTTATTTTTAATTTTTCCTCATTTGTTTATTTATTTCCTTATTTTTGTGGGAAGAAACTTGGTTTGATTTTTCCTTACATCTTGCCAGGTGGTTTTCTCCATTTCATTTTTACAAAGTTCTTTTTACCCCCATTTTATTTTTTTTTCTCTCCAACCCATACACCTTCCCTTCCTTCCCTTTCCCCTCCCCCCTGTCTAGGGAAAACATTGCAGCCCCTCCCCTCAGGCTGTGAGAGGGGCAGGCAGTCCTGGTTCCTCTCATGTGAACGCCAGTTGAGGCTCCATGAACCTGCTGCAGAAGGTACTCTACCAGTACTGCTCTCTCCTCTCTCCCTAGACGCCAAGCACATCACATCAGAGATATATCCAGTCTCCATTATCCATTCAGTTTGGGCTATATCAGGGTTGGACACTCCAGCTGTCCAAGGGTGGGAGGGTTACATTTGTCTATCTGCTATTTTGCCCCATAGCGTTCTCTGATTCCCAAAGGTCTTTTGCCATTTATAGACTAGAAGATGTTTATCTTCCATCTGATACTTCAAATCCTTTTGCTTTGTTTCTTTTTTTAACTTCTAGATGGATCTGGTAGAAGTGGGTAGAGGGTAAAGTGATCTATATGAAGTGAGACCTGGGAGAACTCATCCTTCCAACTGATCTAGTTAAGCAGCTTTATCAGCGAGCACTTTCCCCAGTATGCCCCTTATTTCCTGAAGTGCAGTTATCTTCTGAAAAGTGACAGCCAAGGATATGAAGGCTGGTTGGATTTGTTCCATCTCTCACTAGCTTCTGCGGTTACAAACCCCAAGTCTGCAACTAGAAAAGATGGATTGGCCCTGGTCTCCAGTACCAAAACTTTCATTCCAGCCCTAAGTATCTGGCCTCATCCTTTTTGTTGCCAATTATTTTAATAAAGATAATGGCTTGACTCAGTATTACGAAGTTTGGTAAAACCACAACTAGCCAGGAAGTTATATAAATGATTGAGGAATTTATGAACCTAGCTCAGCAGCAATATTAGCGTTACAGCTGTTATTCTAAATTTATGGGATCCCTTTAGAGTTCAGGAATGCTAGATAAAGCAAATTACCAAGTGAATACTAGTCTTTACCTGGGTTCTCTCCTCTTACCTTCATTATGAGAAGATATGAATTTCTAAGGAGAGTAAAGCAAATATGGCCCCAAAAAAGAAATAAAGCTCATTCGTAGCCAGCTGCTTTTTGGATCTTAATTGCACTTTAAGAAATCAAGATAATGAGATACCACTTTTTAACACCTAAAGGAACTAGGCATCAAGAAGATGTGGAGAAGGATTGCTTTTCTAAGACAGCTACATTTTAACACTGACATTTTGTCCATCTGCTTTATTTTCTTTTAGTAGCATAGAAAACCAAATGCTTAGCTCATCAGATCTTAATGCATCACTGAGAAGAGGCATGCCAACCTAGGTAAAACAAAGCTCTCATTCTGCTTTTTCTTTCTTCTCAGGTCCAGAAGGGGCAAATCTCTTTATTTATCACCTTCCACAGGAGTTTGGAGACCAGGACATTCTGCAAATGTTCATGCCTTTTGGAAATGTTATCTCTGCTAAAGTCTTCATTGACAAACAGACCAATCTGAGCAAGTGCTTTGGTATGTAGAAGAAACCAAGCAAGATGATTACAATTTCTTCCCAAGAGAGAAGGCATGGAAAGGCTGATAAATATTTTTTAAAAAACAGAATAGAGTCTTCTTTGAGTTTTGGATATTTCCCAATTTTCCACATTGTCTATGTATAAAAGCATTGTCACATGGTAGGACCACACACTTTGGAGTCAAGAGATTTGGGTTCAAGTTCCAGCTCTGCCACTCTCAAACTCCTTGACCTTATTTAAACGCTTTGGGCCTCAGTTTCCTCATCTGTAAAATAAGAGTTTAACTAGATCAGTGCTTCTTATACTGTGGGTTGCAACCCCACATGGGGCTGTGAAAAATTTGGCAACAGTAAGAGGTTTCTGACCACGGGATGACCAAAAATTAATTAAAAATCAAATGTGTAATGAATCTGAGATGTTTTCTGGAAGTGCTTGACCGTGTTGCATCATGCAACTTCACTGAAGCCTTGGTTCTGAACACAAAGCATGCGTACTTTGCACTGCACATGCTCTTAGGCCACAAAACTACCCATGTTGCCAAACCACCAAGTGGAAAAAGTTTAAGAAGCCCTGAACTAGATGACCTGTAAGACTCATGCCCATTCTAGTTTTGTGTAAAATCTTTGTATGGACAAAGTAGTTCAGTGAAATATGGATAGAATTGCTAAAATCTGACAGATGTAGCAAACAAATGTAGCTAATTTATTAATTATGCCTTATGTTAGCAAATTCCATTTAGTGTGTTATTCTTCCTTATCAAAAAATATCTAATTATTCTCCATTGTACAGTAATAACTACATTTTAAACTGTATAGATTTAACCCAACATAATATCGTATTAAAATGCCGAGAGTAATATTGATGGCTCACATTTCTGCACTTTGATGTTTACAGTGTTTTCCTCAAAATAACTTGCAGATCACCCAAGTATTATCATTCCCATTTTAGAGATGAGGATGCTGAGGCTCAGAGAAGTTAAGGAATTTTCCCATCATCATACAGCTAGTCATAATTGTCAGAGGCAGGACTCAAGCCCAGGCCTCCAGACCTCACATCCCATGCCTTTCCCATTAGACCACATTGCTTCTCAGCTTTGTAGAATGTTCTGTAATCTATGCTGATGTAGAGTAGCAACACAGACATTTTGTGCCTGATGAATGACTAATTGAGATCTAATTATTATCCAGGTATTATGACAATGGGTGCTTGATATTATTAAATCGAGATTACTGAACTTAGGCTCAGAAGATTTGAGATTTCATCCCATGGCTTCCATGTAACTAGCCATGTGACCAGTGGCAAGTAACCTATTGAATGAATGGAAAAGCTTTTATTAAGCGTTTACTATGTGCAAAGGAGAAGAGGGGAAGGGACCAATCATTTATTAAGCACCTATTACCATGTGCCAGGCATCGTGCAAAGAGCTTTACAAATATTATCTCATTTGCCCAGCATTGGGGATACAAATAGAAAAGTGGGGACAGTCTCTGCTCTCATTGAACTAACATTCTAGTTGGGGATATAAGACATATACATTTCAGCTGCATGCCAGATGGAGAGATCCCATAGTTCTACAACTCTCTGAGCCTCTGTTTTTCCCATCTTTTAAAAAAGGACATTAATACTTACTATCTAATTCGAGAAAAATACTTCATCACCTCTAAAGTTCTATAGAAATACAAGATATTCTCAAGTAGTTTGTTAAACCAGCGATTTAGCCATAATACATACTGAATCATGCCTTAGCCCCGTACATAGTCATGTAGAGTAACCATATCTCACGTAATGCCAGTTAAAAATCATGGAAAGGAAAACAAATGGCAGATAAAAAGTTGGGATAGGACCTACCCTATGTATTAGAATCCTAATCCAGAAAGCTAATATTTAAGTCTTGTCCATGTTTTGGGAGGCTTTTGGGGTAGAGAATGGGGGTAATGAATTCTATTGGCCCCAATGAATTAGTGCTGCCTCAAAGGATGTCATCCTTTCACCTGGGAGTAATTTATTCACTTAGCAAAATCTAAACCATTATGAAATAAAAAATTGGAGGGGGGAGGAGGAAAAAAAGAAAAAAAATTACATGGTAATTTTATTATATATTTAAAAGGAGTAGCCAGTTGTACATAATAGATTTGCAGTTTCATGTACAATCATCTTTTTTTAGTCCATTATAGAAATTCTCATCTTATTTCGTAAGTTCAGAATAAAATAAATTTTTAAAAATTTCTATTAATTAGAAAAATAACCAAATGTAACAACTTGATAGTGGAAGATGTCAGTATAAATTGTCAGTGGGTGATACCCAGCAGCATAGAACAGTTATGATATGACCAAAAGATTAATAAGTACAGATAGAAAGAGAAATAAATAGAATTGTATGAAGTAGGGGATAAAGCCAGAGGGGATTCTCAAAAAGCAAAAGGATATCTTACTATTTTCCCTAAACTGGTGGTGGGTAGCCAGTCCAAAGAGATGGCTTTCACTTCTGAGATTCCATTATCGTTACAACTCCCTGATGTCTGTGCTATCATCCAGGAAGACCTGAGAGCTCTCTGGTGAGGGCAGTTAGGTATGTCAGGTACATAAAGCCACTACTTTTATTCTATCAGAGAAGCTATCAGTATGGGCCCATTCAATTACTGTTACTCCTTTAGCAAACAGACCAACCCTCTTGTAACTGTTCCTCTGAGATGAAGGGTAACAGGAGTCAAATTGTTATGTAGGATATGTGAGCTATCTTAAGGCAAGCCTCTAAGGTGGCTAAGCAGTGCCCTGCAAGAGATCACAAAGTATATGCTGGCCTGGTGAGGTGTAGGAGAGAGTAGTATCTTGGGTGTCTTGGAGATGGATTTATTGTGGTTTTAGAAAACCATGAAATACTTCCTTCCTTTTCCATCCTTACCAATGTCACTGTGATCATACAGTCCATAGCTGTTGCTTGTATCACAGGTTCTGTTTTCAGATTGTATTTATTTATAAGCTCTTCGAGGGAGGAGATGGCTTCACATCAAGCCCTTAGTACAGTGCACATAGTAAGCTCTGAATACACACTTGTTAAATTGAATGTAACCAAATGTTTCACCTTCCTATATGCCAGTAGAGATGCTTCCTGGGGTCTCATCCTCTGGACATCTTGCCAACCTCACAGACAGAAGGCAAAAAGAAGGGGAACAGAGGAGAAATTAATGGGAAGCTAGAGTTAAAGAGAATTATTTGGTCCACAATTCTGGGCTGTTGGGTGATAGAACATGAGAAGTGGTTGGTCCAGAATTACCTTAGGGAACTCAGCTATTGGGTGATAGAACAATTCAGATCCTAACTTCATCACTTTTATTACCTGAGGAAAGTCAGTTAACCTATCTGGGCCTCAGTTCCCTCATCTGTAAGATAAGGAGAGGAAAGGAGAGAATAAGCATTTATGTAGCACCTACTATGTGCTAGGCACTGTACTAAATGCTTTTACAAATATCTTATTTGACTCTCACACCAATCCTGTGAAGTAGGTGCTATTATTATTCCCTTTTTACAGTTGAGAAAACTGAGGTAAATGGAGGTTGAGTGACTTGCCCAGGATTACACAATTATTAGTAGGAGTCTGAGGCTGGATTTGAACTCAGATCTTCCAGACTTACAGAACCCATATTCTATCCACTATGCCACCAGCAATGCTTTTTCATATGACGTTACCTTGAGTTATTTCTATATCCAATTAAATAAGTCTCTAGCAGACATTAGAACAAACTATCAACAGAGTTCTGATTTCTCATACTTTTGCTTCTTTACAGAACCACTAGTATTTTTAATCTGGGGTCTTCTCTTGAATAACAGCCCTCGTCCATTTTTTTTAAAAAACTAATCTTATAAGGTCACTGTATTGCCACATAGAGAGATTAAGGCTATATGCACATAAACCAGTTTTCCTCAATTCAGTTGTAGGGGGGGAGGGAGGAAATTTAATTCAGACAACTGATTTTGGAGTGTGTTTTGTTGTTGCTACCGTTTTGTGTTTTGGTTGGGAGAGAAAAGATACGTCTCCATGATGCCAAAGAATGAACCTGACTAGATTTTTCACTAGTCATTTCAGTGTCATCTGGATAGCCAAATTAAAACCCGGGCTAAGGAGAACAATGTGCAGATATGTCATTTAAACTTGAAAAACTGTCAGTACCCCTTACCGTTTGCAATTACAAAATGTTAGCGAGAACGTAAAGCGCTATCTATTCTAACCTGTGTTTATCTTCGGCCCTCTTCTTCCCCTTCATTCCCTGTCTCCCTACCTTTCTCTTATATTTTCCAGGTTTTGTTAGCTATGACAATCCTGTCTCTGCGCAAGCTGCTATCCAAGCTATGAATGGCTTTCAGATTGGCATGAAACGCTTGAAGGTCCAGCTGAAGCGTTCCAAAAATGACAGCAAACCTTACTGATCTTAACCCCAGAAGCTCACTGCTCTTATTTTAGCTTTCTTAGGGTAAGTCCCATGAGCCAGCCTGTTCTCCACAGGGAAGGCAAAGGAGGACCATATTGCCAACTTTCACCAAGAGAGACAGTTATTTTTACATTAACGCCTCCATTCCCCTACCCACCCACCCACCCAACTCGCCATTATTAAAACTTGGGCTACTTCTTTCCTACGAGTAAATTGCTCCAGTTGTGCTACTGTATTCTCTTTTGTTTTGCGACTTTAATTGTTTTTTTTTTTCATTCTTTTATTTTTTAAAGAAAAACACACAAAAAATAAATGACATCTTGAAAAGTTAGAAGACAAACAAACTCTAATGTGCAATTTAACTCTGAAACCACTGGTGCCCTTGAGAGCACTGGCTAGGAATATTCATGGCTGTCTGTCTGGACTTCAGAAAGGGCACCAGCAGTTTAGAGTTTAATTGGGTGGCCTAGAGTGAGAGCAAAGCCAAGAGAAGCACTTATTCAAAATTAAGCAAACAAACAAAAAAAATGTCTTTCCACTACAGGAGTTCATTATAGTAAGAAGGATTTTATTTTAGGGTTCAAAGAACATGAGATATATTGGTCAAATTATTACACGGGTTGTCTTTATTTTACCATTGTTTTTATTTTAGTTTTTAGAAAGGATTAATGTAAAAAAGATTTAGAGGATCTGTTTCTTAAAGCTACAGGGTTTAAAAAAAATAAAATAAAAATGAGTGAAAATACTTGATGTTTCTTGACAGATAAATTTAATAATAATAAATACATAAATAAATACATAAATAAATAAAAAAGAAAGCCACAGGCCTGTAAATTTTATTTGTAAAAAAACATTTCTATTTTTATACAAAATTTTTACTGCCTCAGAAATAATGGAAGCTATTTATTGCCTATTGTTAACTTATTGGATACCTAAAGAGCAGTTCTCTGTGCTAGCTAGATCCTTTTGAAGTAGTCTATAGAGTACTCGTGCCAGGAATGGGCTTTTTTTCACCGTTGAACCCTAGACCTAAAAGTTCATGCTTTTTCCTCTTGTTGTTTGTATGTCTGGTTATTTTATTTGTAGTTTCCATTATCTAGTTTAAAATTCAGCTGTCTGACTTTCCCCTTATGTTAACATTTGTTGAAACTGGTCCCTTCCCCCTTCCCCTGCCCCCCCAAACAACCGAATCCATCCCCCTTCTCGCTCTCTCTGGATGGATTCTCTTGGGGTTTTCATTGTGCTGTGGACACAGATTGTAAGAAATGCAAATTATGTGAATGGCTCCTAGACTCCCTGAGTTAAGATTTGCATTAGTTTTCTCCTGCACCCATAAAAGTAATTTTGTTTCTGCTGCATAGATTTCTGTGTAACTTTTTACTCTTCCTTGTTTTTTCCCTAGACATCTTCATGCCCGTTAGTTCATCGTTTGCCTAGCATGTCCCTGTGGCGTCTCAAAAAAAAAAAAAAAAAGTTTCATCGTCCCGTCATTGTTTCTGATGTCTTTCTGACCTCACATCATATTTGGTTCTCCTACTGACCTTTGAAATTTGCATGTGACCTCATCTAGCTATGAATTCTGGGAAGTCAATGTGAAAAACATTGCTGCATTCATGCAAGACTGAAATTTATTATTAGACAAATTAATTCTAGAAGAAAAAAAAAACCTGTGGCAAAGTGTTTCTTTCTTTCTTAATTTTTTTTTTCTTTTCGTAAAAAAAAAAAACCAGACTTGAAAGTATTATACAGGGATTGGCATTCTTCCCGGTCACTGGTAACAATAGCAATATGTGTCCAGGGACACAGAATGTTGGTTTCTAACAGACTACTTCCAAAAACAGTTTGAGAAAAAAAAAACTGTCTGATTTTAAGTCTCTAGAGGTCTGTAATCGTTTTTACATTTTTCAGGCAGTGTAAAGTTTTTTGATAAGGCCATTTTAGGTGGCTCACTTTCTCATTAAGATATATATATATAGAACCACTTTTTGTAGATTAGTATAAGAAAATATTTACCCTGTTTTGGGGCAAATGCTACCTATTTGTGTCACCTTTTGCTGAACTGACTCACAGTTAGACAATCCATGGTTTAATGCACATGAAATTACCTATATTTTATACTGTTCCAATGTACAGGAGAAAGGTTACTGTAAACTGTGTTACGTTGGTGCTTCTGTGAATTAAGTTGTGGTTTCATCATGAGTCTTACGGTCTTAAGTGTTCTATGTTGATAAGACAAGTTTAAAAATTTGGTTTACTTGAACAAAATAAAAAAGAGTTTCAAAAAAAAAATTGTTTGCTTAAAAAAAATTTCATGTGAGGAAAAAAAAAAAACCTATTCCAGAATAAGTTTTGTGTTGGCTTGTGAAGCATTGATGTCATTTTTTTATTGTGGACAATTTAGGTGTGTTTGTGTTCAGCAAAATGTGATCTGTTTTTTTTTCTTTTAAAGAAAAAAAAAAACAGTGAAAATATATAGTGCCAAATTCCAAAGGTACTTCCTTCCTAGAGCTTCAGTGTGTTTCTTGTGAGAAGTAATTTGATAACATGGGTATTTTATTATGTGTTTTGTATAAATCCCTAATATTAAAAAAAAAGAGGTTAAAAAGTTTGTTAACTTGCTATCCTGTGGTCTTGTTGCCTGAAATTGTTATTGTTTGTTATTTCTCTTCGATGTTTTTTGTAAGACATTGTATAAGTGCCCATGTCTCACTTTTTTAACCACTCTGCACATCAATGCTGTGAAGGCAAACCTCACAATGTATTTTCTTCATAATATTATGGAAACCTCTAAGGTGAGAAAGTTTTGAACTTTTAACCCTTTCTACCCAGAGCTGTCTGGAATGTTGGTACCTTTGATACATCCACCATTTTATTGTTGGGTTTGTTTGGGGGTGTTTCTGTTGGGTCATTTCCTCCTCCTGCCATTTCCCCTTCTCCCCCATATACCTAATTTTTTTGTGGGGGTTTTGATTTGATTTTTGTTTGTTTGTTTTTTAAACATGGTTGAAATCTACAAGAAGGAAAAAAAAATCCACAGGGCAGATCTGAAGGGTAAAATCAATAGTATTTAACCACTCTCCAAAATTCCCCACCCCTTTCATTTTTTTTCCTTTCACTTTTAAGTACTTTTTTCTTTTTTAATCTTCTCAGAGAGCTCTAAATGTGCTGCTGTAACTTGCTGTTCAGTATTAAATAACAACAGTTTCTTACTGATTCTCTCCTCCCCTTGCCCCATTCCCTCAAGAAAATGGTGAATTTTAGCACCTAATGATATATATTTTTTTCCAATTTGCTTTTGAAATCAAGTGTGGTGGTGCATTCTGGCCGAGAACTTTTTAATGTGCACTGCAATTTAAACTACTTTTTAAACAAACATTTCCTGGATAACGTTTACAATCGGCCATTGTGCTGGGATTGTCTGAGCCCTCTGGGTATGGCCTATATGTGCAGAGTACCCAGAATCTGAAACTGGTAGCCCTTTCACTGCCTTTCTCATGTTAGTTTGTTGGACTAAGTGCATCTGAGGAGACTGTACAAGCAGAACTCACTTCTCATTACTGACACACACACAGAAAACAAAATTGCCAACCAAATACCCATCAGCATTAATTACCTGCTGCCTGTTTTTCTAAAGTGCCATATTTCTTTTTATAAAATCAAACACAGACATCATAAGGTCTTGACAAGACTGAAGGCCGTAACAACCACCAAATGCAAAGCCCTTTCTGAAAAAAATAGAAAACAGGTCATTGGCATCTTCTCTGTGGCTGGGTACAATGCTGGTGACCTTCCTCTCTCCCCTCTCTGATTCACTCACCCCTTTCAGTTTAATATGAACGGATTGTGATAGCCCTGAGGTGGAAAGGACTAGCCTCTCATGATGCAAAAAAAAAAAAAAGAAAGAAAAAAACAAAAAAAAAACAGAAAAAAAGAAAAAAAGTTTCCTTCTTATAGCACATGCACTTACAATGAAATGATTTTTATTATCCTCACACGTGTTTACTACTGCTGGGGCCTTCCTTCATCCTTTGAGGGCTATTTGTACTTCCTGCAGCAATCTGCTTAATAACAAAACAGATCGCACATATGTCTCTCATATATATCTATATACGGGGTATGTATATACATATATATAAACACAGGAGAACTTCATTTGAATCTTAGACTGTTTCACTCAGAATCTTCTCATTTGTCAACCACATAAATTTCCAAAGGTTTTTTTTTTTCCAATTTCTTCAGCAAAAACTGTCCCTGTCCCCTTTTAGCCCCTCTCCCACCTTCCTCTCGCCCAGAGTGGACTGAGCACTATTCAGTAGAAAGTTGAGGGTGAGCACTTTTAGTTGAGCATTTATTATTTTGCAGGCAACCAAGATATGGTAGGTTTGGTGGAAATGTCTGTCCCCTTCCGCCCTTTAATTTGTATGTGTTGTCTTTGTTAAGCAAGTTATCCCTCCTTAGTGAGAAATTGTCCTCCGGTTTACTTTGACTCAGAATATCAAAAGGAAAAGCTGCAAGGGTGCAAAGGGCCTATGCCAGAAGGAAAAACAAAACAAAACAGGGAAATTGCTTTTTTTTAAATAAAAAATTAAATGTAGAGAATAGTAGTTTTTAAATTAAATTAGAGACTTGCAATGAAATGGCAATCCTCAAAGGCATAAATAAGTTCATCTTTCTTTCACCATAGGGGTTATAGTTCTTTGGCTTGTGCTACTCTGGAACCATTTTACTGTTTCTGTTTTTATTATCTTAAGTGCTAATTAACAAGAAGAAGAAAAAAAAACCTGTAGTTTCATTACCTTTTTGGATAATGTCATACAAAAAAAATGTATTTGTGTTTTTTTTGTGCTGTGAAAAATTGTTGTTTGTAGATTAATAATATGATCATTTTGTTTAGAATTACAAAATAGTTTTTTAAGTATTGTCTGAGAAAAGCCAAAGTTAATGCAACCTAGTGGAAACTGTAAGACCATTTGAGTATTGTTTCTGTTTTATTGATGCATTTGGATTTTGTTGTTTGATGGAATTTGAGCCAAAAAAAAAATGCAGGCTTTCCTATTTCTACAACTGATTGTACTTATGCATTTTGTACCAGTGGAACTTTTTATACTGGAGATTAAAAAAAAAAAAAGGAAACTTTTGTGGCTTACTCTAGTGGGCCCCCTGACCATGACTGATTTTGAGTTTGATTTCTGGTTGGTAGAAAGAAAGTTGGTTTTCTTTTGAGAATTAAAAACTTTGGCTTGCTTTCTTTTTTTCCCTTTGCTTATATCTAGCGTTAGAATTTTGTCTTTTTAAAAAGCGGTAAGTTTCACTTTTTATTCTGTATTGTGCAGTTACACAATAAGGTAATTAGAATTAGGAGTACTCAGTCACTTTAAGTGGATAAATGTATCAGTTAAAACTTTAGGGGTTTGCTTTTTTGCTGTTTAGATCAAAGTTTTTTCTGATTCTTCTGTCCTCATTGTGAACATAACCGTGTAGTTGAAACAGTCAAACTTATTTTTGTAACGTATGTTATTGTGTGATGCAGTTTTTTGCTTCTGTCTCCAATATTAAACCATTTTCCTAATACTTGTCTCTCTCTGCGTGTTGTATTGTTGGTGGTCATTATATGTTGGTAATACATCTGCACACCTCACTGTTTCACGTCCCTGTTTTTTTTCTATTTGTTGTGTATAAAAGATACAGTCGATTCCACCTAAGTGAATATCTGATTTTGGGAAAAGGAGGAACTGTGCACTTTAGCTTTCCTCAGTTTATTTCTGTACCACAGCTCATTTCAGCTTCTGGGCCTAGACTTGTTACTTTTTTTCTTTATTAACAGTCAGTCTATGGGTTCACTTAAGTAACTACCTGCAGAGTTATATTTGCCAAGGCAAATATCAATCATTTGATTACAGAAGAGCTCTCTCTCTCTCTCTCTCTCTCTCTCTCTCTCTCTCTCTCTCTCTCGCTCTCTCTCCCTCCCTCCCCTTCCCTCCCCCCTTTTCTTCCTTTCTCTCCCTTTTGCTTCCTCTTTCTCTCCCTCTCTTCTTTTCTCCCTCTTTCTTGCCTTCTTTCTTCCACCCTCTGTCCTTTGGTCTTTCCCTATTGTGCAAACACAACCTATTCCAAAATGCAGAAAGTCAGTCTCTGATGTTAAGTGAATCCACCTGTGAAACTCAAAACAGCACCTATCAGTTCTAAAAAGTCATAACAACATGCATATAGAAAATTAGAGGGGGCAGCTAGCACGGTGGATAGAGCACCGGCCCTGGATTCAGGAGGACCTGAGTTCAAATCCAGTCTCAGACACATAACACTTAATAGCTGTGTGACCCTGTGCAAGTCACTTAACCCCTCGTCTACCCAAAAAAAAAGAAGAAGAAAAAGAAAATTAGAGCTGAAAAGGACCTGAGTGATCTAATCCAGCCCCTTTTCCCCACTGCCTAGGTAAGGAGCCTGAGGCCCCAACACCAGGGAGTGATTTGAACCCAGGTCTTCTGACTCAAGCCTAGTGTTCTTTTTTCCATATTCTATCTTCTGCTCTACCTGGTAGCTCTGTGTAAAACTTTAGAAAACTTGAGAGAAGAGAAGGAGCAGCCCTGATACTTCTAATTGTACACTAGTCTCTTGGCATATGATAAGAGTCAACTATTTTTTAGGACCTAATAATATTCTAAATAGAAGTGAGAGACCTGGGTGAGGGGTGGGGATAGGAAGCTCACTAGCTGAGCAAGAGACATGCATATATATGTATAAACACACAAATATGTATGTGTAGTCATATAAGAAACACAGGTGTTGCCAATCCATCAATTAGTAGATAGATATAAAAATATTTTTTTAAGAAGGGAACAGCTTTAGTTACTAAGGCTAATGGAGACAATCTTTCCTCAATACTCAAGCTTTTGATTTCAAAGGGGTCGAGTTGGTCATACTCATCACTGGATATGATAAAGTCCAAATGGAATTTTAAAAGTGTAACAAAAACACACACTTTTTTTTTGTCTCCCCCTCCCCCCCAACACACGTTTCTATAGCTGGTGTCTGATATAGATGTTTACAGTGTCACGCCCTGGCTAACAAGAGATCTAAAGCTTTAAACACCTTCCTTTCCACCCCTTGCTTCTCCCAAAATCCAATCAAAGCTCACTCAAGAGTGCTCTCTGGTACTTAAGCCACAAACCCCATTCCCCATCCTCTCTCCATCTCTTAATGCTCAGGAATCTGATCGTTTTTTTCAAAGTGCTCTTAAGAGGTTCCATCAATTCTAGTCCCTCTTGTATCTCTCTCCTTCCAATTTTTCTGACGCACAATCTCTGGAGGAAGCAAGCCTACTCCTAACGCCCCTAGCCCACTGCCAATGAGATGATCCCCTCCACAGCCCTCGGACCTCAGCTGCTCTGTGGGGTCCAGGACAGGGAGTCATTTTAACATTCTCCAGCAGCTCAAAGGTTGAGGGCCCTGGTGGAGTGGGGAAAGGGGGCTTCTTCCTGTAAGCCTAACACACCCCTATGGGCCATTACTTCTGCCAGCTCCAACCCAACTCAGCTGGGAGCTAATCACTAGACTTCAGATTTCTAGGCAAAGCTTCTGCTTTTAATCTTACTATGGCTTTCAGAAGCCCTTAGAAGTTTTATGAAGATCCACTGCCTATGTTAGCAGGGAAGGGATGACTGAGTATGTGATTTTTACCTTATTTTATTTTTTTAAATAATTTTCTTTCAAGATGCAGCTTTAAAAATAAAAGATCTACTATCTGCCAACATACAAAGAGATTCTGTGCTAGAGTTTAAAAAGAAGAAAAAAAAAAAAAGCCAGTTCATTTAAAAATAACTTCTCCACAAAAGGGGAAGGAAAAGTTAGTTCCCTAAAGTGCTGATGGTTGTATAGTAAAGTCCTTGCTTTAAATTCATTTTTTAAAAAAACTTCAATTATGTAAAACACCTTTGTGGTATAAGCAAAATGTTTCTTTGTTCGCTGTGCGTGGACCATCTTGGCAAATGATAGAGTCATCACCAGACTTAACCTTGCCGATAGAAATTACGTCTGCCAGTCCCCAGCCATTAAACTTGATCCAAGGAGCTGGTGACTGTTAGCTCACAGGCTAGGAAAACAGTCAACACGAATGTACTGTGAATCGTTCCTGATAAGTGAATAAAACATTGTGACCAAACAATCAGCTTATTCACTTATCAGGAATCGACTGTTCTGCTAATTCGCTAACTGTTTTTGTTCTTCATCTTTGTTGTAGTTCACTATTTCTGCTGTGTTCTGTTATTCCTCTCATGCGCTAGCAAAATCACTAGGAATATATCTTCGTGTGACCATGAAACGTTATATCGAGTGAAAATGATATCTTAACAAAATCTATGCACTTGCTATCAGGAACACAATACTGGATGTGTCTTATATATATTGAACTATATAGTACTCGATTTCTTAAATAAAGCTTAAGAAAGGACTCTGTTGTCTGTAAAATTAATGTGAAGATTTTTAAAAAAAACAATGTTTCTAGAGATTGTTTTGTGTTAAATCTTTGGGGATGCAGAGTTTACATTTTTTTTCTTTGAATTTACATGTATCTGTGGCTTTATGGCTCAATCCTCAATAAATTGGCTTTGGAAACAAGATGGAGTGAGGGAGGTTTCTCCTACTGCTTTTTTGAAAGATCTAGCTGGAAAGTCATCCCCTTATTAGTGAGAATGGTGTGTCTCTCTCTGTCCAAAGCAAGAGATACCACTTCTGCAAATACCAGAACAAAGTAATTCCTAGACTTACAAAGAACCACTTGAAAGTATCTGAATTTTGCCCTAACCTAGAAAAATCCAGCTGTGTTTCTGAATATGATCTCTTTGGGGGTGGATGAAGAAGGGAAAAAAGAAGTTTCTAGAATAATGCTGGTTTACGTCAGTGCCCAGACAAAGTGAGGTGAAACTCTAAAAGTATAGCCAGCTGGAGAGCTATGCTTGTTTTATTCAGAATTGCAAAATGAGAGAAAGAAAGAGAAATGGTATTTGATCATTCAGGATGAGAAGAGTAAAATTTCAAAGCACCAGTGGAAGAGACACCCCATGACATTTACTAAGCTTAACTGGGAGGCCTGCTGCTTGGGCCTTTCAGAGTTTTTTTTGAAATTTTTCCCATTGGGCATCAGTTGATACAGAACAATGTTTATGTTTTTTAAAAAAAATTCTCAATGTTTGATAACAAGGAAAATTCCTAGACTTTCTCCACTTAGGGGCTGAACTACAGCCAGACATTCTAAGCCTTCATTCAACCAAACCTCAGGGACCTGTGCTAATGGCAGACAAGAAGAGTATAGATAATGACAGTTGACAGATAATCCAAAATCCTCTCACCAATGAGTCCAACAAAAAACTTGCCCCTCGGGTGTCTTTGGGTAGGGGCAAAGAATCAGTTAAAAGACCAAATGGCAAAGGAAGTGGAAACAAAGAGAATCTGTACACTGAATAATCCTGGATAATAGAAAATTCACTACAGAGAGAGAGGTATTGAAATAGTACCCCCTTTCACAAAAGAATTTTACAGACAAGTATAAACAAGTGCTCCCATTTTTATGGAGAATGAAATCTAGGCACTGCTCAGTAGAAGACCTAGAAAACTTAGTAAAACGAATTCTAGAATCTAGCTGCCTCTTTGCCTTCAACTCTAACTTCATAATCTCCCTTTCTCACGAAAGCTAGCATATTATTTGCCAAGTAACACATTTTGGGGTTGTAGTCAGAGCCTTCAGGTTTAAATATAAACCCCAAGAACCTCTGAGGGGCTTTCTACAGATTCATCTCTAGCCTCGCACATAATACGAGAACCAATATAGAATCAATTCAGGGCCACTGAGATGGCCTTCAGTAGTTAAGGTGACCAGTCCTTAAGATTCCTGAAGAAGATATTAAAGGAATCCCTGTTTTCTTGAACTGGAGACCCAATTTTAAATGCATTTTGAAAAATATATTAACTCCTCAAGATTAATAAGCACCTTATACTCCATAGTGATATTTCACCACATACATGTATCACTTCCATCATCTCCAATTTATATCTCAGCTGGGAGAGACCCAATGTCACTCACTAGCATTCATTACTGTGACTGCTTTGTCAATAACTCCTAATCTTATCCCTTTCACCCCCGAGAATGCCCAGAAATGAACATCTCCAGGGTTCTCCTCTTCCTGTCTCTCTCTCTCTCTCTCTCTCTCTCTCTCTCTCCCTTTTTCTCTCCCCCTCCCTCCCTCCCAGCCTGCCTCCCTCTCCCACTCCCTCCCCAATGGGAGTTTGGAAGCCCTAGGAAAGTGGCTAGTTACAGAAAGGAGGGGACTTCAGAAAATTCAACTGATCCCAGGTCATCTTTACTGCTACAGAATCCAAGAGAGACTCCTAGATAGGGAGTATTATCCTTAAGGAGGATCCTAAATTTAAAAGCAGCACTGGGTGGAGTCACCTTGGGATTAGTCATCTTTTATCTGGGATTCCATCCCTACTTTCCCTCCCCTCCCAGCTCTTTTAGCCTCCTTGCGGTGAATAAATGTTGAATTTAATGAAATGTCTAGTGCCCAGATTACAGCAGC